TTAAGTTAAGCCAAGGTGATGAGCTGCTTTCCTGTATGCAAGCAGTGTTACTCACCAGCACCGAAATCCAAAACGTCTTCGCTCTGCAGTGTCTTTTTGATGCTCTCACTGTACGGTCCATCTTTGCTGTGGCCACGCCGGTGATTCCTGTGGCGCTGCTTGTGATGTGTGGTTTCTTGGAGTTCTGCCGTCCTGGCGTAGGAGACTTTGTCGCATTTGGCGATCAAACTTCGTAGCAAATTCCTTGTGGTACAGAGCAGGATTTGCCAGAACGGAATTTTCATTGTGTGTTTGTGTGTATTGAATGCCTGAAATGCTTGATCACAGAACATGACAGGCCACCATGCCACCAGGTGATTCTGTGTTTGAGGCTGAAACATGTTCAAGACCCAGAGTCAAGCAGGGCTGTTTCGATCATCTTGCAATTCGCAGTATGGAAACCAAAGGTCTTCAAAACGCTGTATGGCTTCGAAGGGCCAAGTAGGCAAATTTGATCAAATATGATCAAGCATATCATATCAAATAAACATTTTGAGGCTCTTGGTGCTACATCAAGATATGCTACATCTCGTACCTTGTCTTGTCCCGTTGAGGCATACGACTGAGCCTAAAGTTTAGGCTCAGTCGTATGCCTCAACGGGCCTAAAGATCCTGATGCTTCTGTACATCGGTGCTGCTTCTGGCTGTGCGCAGCTTCTGGATTGCCAGCGCACAGACGGCACAGGCGAGGCTTTCTAAAGATTCTAAGGCATGACATGCCGGTCACATGTCCCATGTTGAACATCAAGAGTCAAAAGCTTGTTCAACATATTGCAGTAGTGCATGCAAACATCAATCGTAAATCAAACTGTATTGCAATAATGCAGAGCCTGTGCGGCCTCAATGCAGTTTTCATTCATTTTTTGGCAGCTGGTGCTTCTGAAAATATGAAGCCAAATTGATGCCGTCCAAGTCTTTTAGAATCAAAGACAGCAGAGCAGCACAATCAAATGGACTGCCCAACCCCGCAAATTTCCACAACCGTAAGCCTTTGAATCCCTCAAATGACTTTCATGTGTGTGAATCGACACGGTCGAGGGCACCCACGGTACCCACATGTTTCCAGTTGCTTGAGCACCTGCATGGACTGCGAGGCAAACTGCTGTTGGATTTTCCCTTTCGGCGGCTGTTTCCACACCTGCAATGCTCAGAAGCAAAATGGGTGCTAAGCTCAGATGAACAAATCGAGCATGTCTTGCTCAGTTGCATCGATCTTCGCCATGTTTCGAGTTTCCTGCCATCCTTTGCACGGCATTTGCAACATCATGGAATCGTGGAACATCTTGGAGCGTGATGGAGCTGCAAAAGAATTTCCCGAGAATTGCTGAACAGGCTGAACATATAATTCTATACCAGTTCTGCACGAAGAAGCAGATTTACTTTTTGGTCATTATTTGATCATGCTTTCGTTTCTCAGGTGGATTTGGTGGGCTACGCATGTGGCATTTTCTACGGTGTCTTCATTCCACTGGGCGAAAGGATCAGAAGCGGCTGCTGGGAGCTGCAACGGCACACGTGACTTCGCTTGCTGATGGCCGAGCTTTTGTGGAGCTGAAAGAGGATGCTGTGATGCTTGGCTATGCTTGGCTGGATCAACCAGAAATGTTGATTTCTTTCAACCAAAGTCGCGTGAGAAGTCTAACCAAGGATTGTTACCTTTGCTGACGACGTGGAGCACGTGGAGGATGCATTTGCAGAAGCTTGGCATACTTAGTAAGGCACGCACCTGCCAGCCTGTCACCATGATTTGTCCATCACAAGTTTGTGGCACAAACTCGTGCCACTGACACACAGGCACAGTGGCACAGTGGCACACTTACACACATACAGTACACATCAGACATCATCAGACTGTGTCTCTTCAAGCCTATGCAATGTAAAAACCCTCCTGCATTCCATGTAAAATGTGTACGCCGCAAAAAAAATTAAAGGACCGGATAACCCCACATGTCAACTTCTTCCAACAAGCAGCAAAAGAAAGGTAAAGATGGCATGGGGAAAGCAGGAAAGAGAAAAGAGATGGTGAAGGAGTGGCGTATGCAACCAGGTGAATGATTTGCATCCAAATAGAAGGCCAGCTAGACAAACAATACTGAACACACTAATCCAATAACATCAAGTCGCCTCAGACAGCGCCAGCTCTTTCGCAATAACATCCACGTATAGACCGGTATGAGTAAGTTGTGTATGCATGTATGTATGTATGTATGTATGCATGCATGCATGCATGCATGTATTGAACAGCAGCATCTGCGCGACGAAGTCGGTGCCTGGCAGAACAACAGAAAACACCGGCTGTCACGAAGACTGTTAGTTTCAGAAGCACAGATTGATAACAGACATATGAGCACCGTCAACTGCAACAGCACTAGCAAAGATCACGACATCGCAGCGTGGTGGACCTGCCAAGCGACGGCGGCAAGTGCAGTAATGTAGCTCCCACTGAAAGCAAGCAACACAAGAATAGTGGCAACCGATTGCACAGAAACTGTTCTGATCTGTCATGAACCCTGTGGCGGGTGGCAGAGTGAACTGGTCTGACTTGCTGGTGGCGCCACCTGCTGGCGAGGTGCACACGCGTTCCACTCCGTGTCTGTTTTTCGTGTTTCTTCTTTGTGCTTTTTCATTTCAGGCTTTTGCTTTTCTTTTTGTGCTGCAGACTTGCATTGATGCAAACGTTGGTGGTGTCGCTGCCAGGTCAACAACTGCCTTTACACGGTCTCCGCTTTTGTGCAATCTATCCGGGGACATTATGTGGCATATGTTCGCCGTGACAACAAATGGCTACTTTGTGATGACACCAGAGTGAAGGTAGTGCAAGCAGTTGAACCTTTGTGGCCGTCGTTGCTTTTTTTGGAAAAATTGCGTCGCTGCCACGCCAACAGCCGCGGCGTCCCCGGCGCCACGCCTAAAACCAAGCGCGCCACCAGAGCCAGCCCAGTGCCACAAGTGCCACGCCTGCCACGGCAGAGTAGAAGTCGATGTCACCAAGTACCACGCCTGCCACGTGAAACGAAGGTGGATGTCTCCAAGTGCCACGCCTGCCACGGCGTCCCCGGCGCCACGCCTAAAACCAAGCGCGCCACCAGAGCCAGCCCAGTGCCATAAGTGCCACGCCTGCCACACCAGAGTAGAAGTCGATGTCAGCAAGTACCACGCCTGCCACGTGAAACGAAGGTGGATGTCTCCAAGTGCCACGGCTTTCACGCCAACAGCCGCGGCGTCCCCGGCGCCACGCCTAAAACCAAGCGCGCCACCAGAGCCAGCCCAGTGCCATAAGTGCCACGCCTGCCACGCCAGAGTAGAAGTCGATGTCACCAAGTACCACGCCTGCGACGTGAAACGAAGGTGGATGTCTCCAAGTGCCACGCCTGCCACGCAAAGTGACGATCCATGTGTTGACAAGTGCCACGCCTGCCACGCAAAGTGACTATCCATGTCATCAAGTGCCATGCCCGCCACACAAAGTGAAGGTGGATGTCACAAAGTGCCACGCCTGCCACGCAAAACGCCGCGGCGTCCCAGCGCGGCCTGGGAACCAAGCGCGCCACCAGAGCCAACCCAGTGCCATAAGTGCCACGCCTGCCACGCAAAGTGACGATCCATGTGTTGACAAGTGCCACGCCTGCCACGCAAAGTGACGATCCATGTCATCAAGTGCGACGCCTGCCACACAACGAGATGTGTTTTTGACGTGCCCCTCTGTCCGCCAAACTCTAACACCCACAGCTGATTTCTTCATCTTTGAGGCCTAGCTTTGGCTGCAGTGGGTTTCCGATGCCGCAATCGACTTCCATTTCTTCTGGGCAAACAACTTCCATTTCTTGCGCTTTCACTGCCATTTCTGGTGCTCCTTGCACAACTGCGGCGCCCTGACTCCCTGCAGCAGGACAGCTAGATCGGATCTATCTGCCCTCTGGGAAAGGGACACCTTCTGGCAAATCAAATGGAAAGCAAACATACAACGCAAACTTAACAAATCCATAATTGGACATGAACAGTATCATACAAAGAGCTAAAATGCATTAGAATGCTACAGGACACGCCTTAATTAATTTGTAAAAGATATATACATCATACCAGGGTTATCCATATTATAATGTTTTTTTCGCAGGATTGATGTGCAACTTCTCAGAAGGGTTCCAAAATTGTCCAGTCTCTCCAGGAATTGGAAGAAAAGATGCCGATGGACAAACCTGTGGAGGTTTGCACTACAGAGGTGCGGTTCATGTGATGAGGTGCAGCGCCGCAGTCTGTGGTTGATGGTTGAAACCCATTGTAAGATCAATTTTTTGAGTGGTACTTACATGATCTTACATGTACTTTCAATCTGTCACAGATTGCAGGATCTGAGGCTACTTAGGTCTTGCATCGTCTTGTTGCATTGAAGGCACTCCTGCTGGCTATGAGCCCACTGCCGTGATATGCTGCTATCACAAGCCATGCGATCAAATATTTCATAACACCATTGCCATGTTGCAAAAATATGCAATATTCACATCTGGCATGTCCGACATCCTGCATCTCTTGGGTACCGATTTTCATACAGTGGCAATAAGTGGCATATGAACCTCCAAGCATCCTCTCACTCAACACTCGACAGGTTGGGATCAAGCAGGCGCCCATCATTTGCTCGGCAAAGGGTGGAGCCCCTCATGGTCATTTTGCTGTGATTGTAATTGATTTTAGGGATTGGTGATGATCTTCATTGGTACTGTGTTCGAGTGATTAAAGAGTTTCAGGCAGTGTTTCAGCTCGATCTTGAGGTTGGATAGGGATATGATATGATATGATATGATGGGATATGGGCATGATCTTGATGGATGCAGCATTGCAGCATGTCCAAGATTGTCGGAGTATGTCACCCCAAATGCCAAGAATCCCAGGTGTGCTTTGGGCATCCTCGGCTCACATGACAGGCTCACATGGCCAGTAGCCGCTAGCGGGCAGCCTCGAAGGTGACGTGCAGGGGATGTTTGTACCACTGCCCTGAAGGCAGAGGGAGTCTTCGGGAGTCTCATTTCTTTCATGGTTCATTTTGGAATTTGCAGGTCTACTTTAGTAATGCCGCCGAGTTTCATGCCTGACAAACGGAAGCTGTTGACACTGTTGTTCTCCAGTGGCTCAAGCACCTCCCGATCGTGGATTCTGGAGCTGATTAGCTATCTCAGCTATGTCAACCTTAACTGCTTGTGAAGTCCTGGCGGTGGTGGCGTGGGATGTGGCTTCCTTTCTGGTTCCGCACCAAAGCTCCGAAGACTTGGTGAAGCGAGGAATCCCTGCCCCGGAGGCACGACAAAGAAGCTTCTTTCGCACATCTCTCATGGAGAGGTTGTCCTCGTTGATTCATGTGATGTTGATATTGGGGATTGGAGTACATCTGATCATCCCAGGATTGGTTTGCCTCAGCCTCATTAGTGGATACTTGTATAGTTTCGTCGTTCCGGGCACTTCGATGCTCGTCGTGGGCTTTTGGTTTGGCCATATAGAGGACGAATGCAACCAGCCGCTGGGTATATGTGTGATGATCTATTGGTTGCAGGTGATTGTAAAATTCGCTGCTGTTATCGGCTGGCATGATTGTCCACCAGACTTCGGCCCTCCAACTTTCCGCAGACTGATTCCTTGCCTCTATCGCATCTTTGCAATCACCACAGTGCTATTTGAAGTGATTTTTCCAGTGACTACCTTCATCATGCTGATGCTGGCAGACAGTTGCACGCCAGGCCTAATTCGAAACACTTGGGTCGTGCTGTCGCCTTTCATCTACGGGGCCTTATGTAGCTGGACCACTTGTCCGAGCCATATTCCCCTTGAAAGTCCGGCCAGTTTGGTGAATACTTTTACTCGGATCCGTTTCGATCCTGATACCTTCAACGACGAAACTTACGCAAAAAGTTGCGCTATTTGTTCGGCAGACTTTGCTGCATCTACTGCATCTACTGCCATCGTGTCGCCCCCCTGTGCTGCCGGTCGCCACGTCTTTCACGAACAGTGCTTGGTTGGCTGGTTTGAAAGAGCGCGCTCATGTCCGTTATGTCGCAGCCGTTTGGATCCCGCAGCTGGTCCTGGAACGGTAGAGCCGGTAGACGTGGAACTTGCACTTGCGGTGGAACTTTCACTTGCTTCGTGAGAGCAGAGTCTGAGCAGAGCCTGGACATGCTCCGGCAGAGCTCACTTGGAGAACATTGCCAGAATGCCCACTATGTCAGGTTTCACCAAGTTTCACCAGAATTTGACAACGGTTTCCCCTGCAGGAGTGCCAATAACAAAGCGGCTTCTTCCTCACCACTTTATCAATCCTGCAAACACATTCATGCCAAACCTGTCGCTCCCGGCTCTCCATGCCGCATGCCATTTGCCACAGGTTTTTGCTGCGGCAAAGAGCTTGCCGCCTATTTCCGCTGGAGTTGGAGGCCCTAGTGACATCAAAGAACAAACGCAGATCAATGCAAAGAATATCAAAGAACTTCAAGATTTCCTGGCTATACCTGGTTTCTTGCAAGGATGCCGACTTTGAATCACAACTGGCTGACATGCCTTATCTGGCGCCTTACGAGTCAGAGGAAAAAATGAAGGGGAGCTTTCTGAAACTTGGCATATTGGGTATGGCAATGTATGGGGGTCACTCAACTTGGAGAAGCGGTCTCTGTTTGGAGAGAGACTTTCATTCTTTCATTCATGTTTGTGTTGGGCTCAACACTGCTAGACCGCTAGACCGGTACTGAACCAAGACCGGGCCCGTACAGACAGGCAGGTGTTATTTGGGCTTGTATTTGAACTGAAGCAGTGGGGCCATATGGGCATGATTTTGATGGATGCAGCATTGCAGCATGTCCAAGATTGTCGGAGTATGTCACCCCAAATGCCAAGAATCCCAGGTGTGCTTTGGGCATCCTCGGCTCACATGACAGGCTCACATGGCCAGTAGCCGCTAGCGGGCAGCCTCGAAGGTGACGTGCAGGGGATGTTTGTATCACTGCCCTGAAGGCAGAGGGAGTCTTCGGGAGTCTCATTTCTTTCATGGTTCATTTTGGAATTTGCAGGTCTACTTTAGTAATGCCGCCGAGTTTCATGCCTGACAAACGGAAGCTGTTGACACTGTTGTTCTCCAGTGGCTCAAGCACCTCCCGATCGTGGATTCTGGAGCTGATTAGCTATCTCAGCTATGTCAACCTTAACTGCTTGTGAAGTCCTGGCGGTGGTGGCGTGGGATGTGGCTTCCTTTCTGGTTCCGCACCAAAGCTCCGAAGACTTGGTGAAGCGAGGAATCCCTGCCCCGGAGGCACGACAAAGAAGCTTCTTTCGCACATCTCTCATGGAGAGGTTGCCCTCGTTGATTCATGTGACGTTGATATTGGGGATTGGAGTACATCTGATCATCCCAGGATTGCTTTGCCTCAGCCTCATTCCTGGCGTCTTGTATAATAATTTCGACATTCCGGGCACTTCGATGCTCGTCGTGGACTTTTTGTTTGGCCATATAGAGGACGAATGCAACCAGCCGCTGGGTATATGTGCGATGATCTATTGGTTGCAGGTGATTGTAAAATTCGCCGCTGTGATCGGCTGGCGTTGCTGGCATGGTTGTCCACCAGACTTCGGCCCTCCAACTTTTCGCAGACTGATTCCTTGCCTCTTTCGCATTTTTGCAGTCGTCACAGTGCTATTTGAAGTGATTTTTCCAGTGACTACCTTCATCATGCTGATGCTGGCAGACAGTTGCACGCCATTGCTAATTCAACAAACTTGGGTTGTGCTGTCGCCTTTCTTCTACGGGGCCTGTCTAGCTGGGCCACTTGTCCGAGCCATATTCCCCTTGAAAGTCCGGCCAGTTTGGTGAATACTTTTACTCGGATCCGTTTCGATCCTGATACCTTCAACGACGAAACTTACGCAAAAAGTTGCGCTATTTGTTCGTCAGACTTTGCTGCATCTACTGCATCTACTGCCATCGTGTCGCCCCCCTGTGCTGCCGGTCGCCACGTCTTTCACGAACAGTGCTTGGTTGGCTGGTTTGAAAGAGCGCGCTCATGTCCGTTATGTCGCAGCCGTTTGGATCCCGCAGCTGGTCCTGGAACGGTAGAGCCGGTAGACGTGGAACTTGCACTTGCGGTGGAACTTTCACTTGCTTCGTGAGAGCAGAGTCTGAGCAGAGCCTGGACATGCTCCGGCAGAGCTCACTTGGAGAACATTGCCAGAATGCCCACTATGTCAGGTTTCACCAAGTTTCACCAGAATTTGACAACGGTTTCCCCTGCAGGAGTGCCAATAACAAAGCGGCTTCTTCCTCACCACTTTATCAATCCTGCAAACACATTCATGCCAAACCTGTCGCTCCCGGCTCTCCATGCCGCATGCCATTTGCCACAGGTTTTTGCTGCGGCAAAGAGCTTGCCGCCTATTTCCGCTGGAGTTGGAGGCCCTAGTGACATCAAAGAACAAACGCAGATCAATGCAAAGAATGTCAAAGAACTTCAAGATTTCCTGGCTATACCTGGTTTCTTGCAAGGATGCCGACTTTGAATCACAACTGGCTGACATGCCTTATCTGGCGCCTTACGAGTCAGAGGAAAAAATGAAGGGGAGCTTTCTGAAACTTGGCATATTGGGTATGGCAATGTATGGGAGTCACTCAACTTGGAGAAGCGGTCTCTGTTTGGAGAGAGACTTTCATTCTTTCATTCATGTTTGTGTTGGGCTCAACACTGCTAGACCGCTAGACCGGTACTGAACCAAGACCGGGCCCGTACAGACAGGCAGGTTTTATTTGGGCTTGTATTTGAACTGAAGCAGTGGGGCCATATGGGCATGATTTTGATGGATGCAGCATGTCCAAGATTGTCAAAGTATGTCACCCCAAATGCCAAGAATCCCAGGTGTGCTTTGGGCATCCTCGGCTCACATGACAGGCTCACATGGCCAGTAGTAGCTGCTAGCAGCCAGATGCCGCGGTACCAGGCAGTGATTGGGGGACAGGCTGCAGTATGCGGCAGTTGCAGTGTTTGCTCAGGATGTTCTTTTGAGGTCCGGCAATGCCGCCCGTGATGCTCAGCACGCTCTGGGCGTGGGCCCTGTGTCAGCCTTCTGACGTGTGGCCTCCGAGGCATTTCAGCAAGTCATGTCACGATTGGGAGGCGAGTTGCAGAGTTGCAGAGTTTTAGGCGCAGACATCAGCCTTGAAATTTCTGCGCAGCTGAGGCTGCTGAGGTGATCCCAGCATGTTCCAAGTTGCCAGGCCGGATTTTGGTTGTGATGTGTGGCTGTTTTTCTAGGGAGATCTGGGATTCCTGCTGAGGACCAGTGCTTATGCAGGCTGGAGCTGCGGTGCTAGCAATGGGATACAATAATTGTATATATATATATAATTGTGACAGATGACTTAATATGACTTAATCCATTTTTGCCACCAGTGTCCGAACAGTCTAGGAGTCTAGCAACTGCATAGTACTTCCATTTCAGATCATTTCAGACTTCATGGGGCTTTCAAGGCGATGATGGAGTGGGGTGATGTTGTACGCTTTGTACGCGGTGCACGTCCAATACCCACACAGATCACACAGTTCCAGTCGCGTCTCACTTTTCAGGTGGCTGTCTCGAACCTGACCCGCGCAGATACATCTGGATCATCTGGGGTGGCCGCGGTATTCGCAGGTCCGGCAGTTCTGTGAAAAGTTCGTCATAGGAAGTCTTTCCTAGAGCTGTTTTCTGCTTGAATCATTTTGTGACACTTCGCTGGCAGCTCCGCCCTGGAAGGCAAGCAGCTTTATGTTTTTGACAACACAAGATTTAGCGAATCTAGCCCATCATGTCCCGTCATGGGTTTGGTTGAAGACTTGATGCCAAGATGTGCCAAGCTCTGTGTCTAAGTGAGTCCAGAGTCGAAGTGAGTCGAAGTGAGTCACTCGCAAATCTAGTTGTGTTTCGAGGTTTCACCTGGCAAGATCCACCTCCGGACCTACTAATTTTGCCATGCAACCAGTCCTTGACCCTGAACCAATCCTTCGATATGGATGCACGATGCCCTGGAGAATGCCCCTACTATGCTATGGATCAGCGACATGGGGTGTCATCCTGCAGAGCCAGCTGCGTGGTTGCCTCCCAATGTGTCATTTACAATCCAGATGCTCCGGTCCCAGACCAAGCAGCTGGAACTTGCCGCGGAGCTTTAGTAGATGGCCTCGGGCTCAATTGCTGCATTCCGCAGACAGGTCTAGAGAGCTAGGGAAATCTCGGAAGCAGGAGAAACACGCAGAAGCATTGAACCGATCTGAATAACAATCGAAAAAAATGAAGAAAATGGTTAATCAGGGGCAAGGACACTGAGATTCACTGAAAATTCAATACCTTCAACCCCAAACCAACTTTGAACTTATGTAAGCCAAAGGAATGCCAGGTCCAAAGCAAACAAAGCGCATTTGCACCTCAGGCTGTTACCGTCCGAAGCTAGATGGTACAGACACCTGCTTGGAGTGTGCAGCTTGGTATCGGCAAACTCCGGCCGGCAAATGCGAGCTGGAATATCTCTGGGTGATCTATTTGGTTGCTGCATTGCTTGGATGTCTGCTTTTGGCGCTGTTGGCCTATCTCGTTGAACTTCACTGGCGCCCTGCCACCAACATGGTCGGCTTGGATTGTGGGCTGGGTGCCCGGTCGCAGCAGAAATATCGAGACCAGAACCGCGAGCTGTGGCCGTTGTCTACGAATCTTTGTCGTACTGAAGTGGGTGGACCGGGCCTCTTGCTCCATTTCAACTTCATGGCAGTCGTTTCTAAGTCGCACTGGATCTCCTTCCACGGCGCAAACCACTAATGGGGATTTATGGGGACACCCTGCTGGATGGCTCTCAACAACCTCTGCCCACCAAACATCTTTATCCTATTTTGTTTTTCATATCACATACCAACCACTTTTTAAAACAACTACTTGAACAACTTAGTTCATGGGGCTCCACCTGGCTCGACTGAGGTTGTGATTTGGGCGGTTGCACTTGGTCTTGGCTGGGTGTTGCTTGCATACATGGTCCCTTGGCCCTTGGCTGGTGAAGGTCTTGTTATGATGGAACAACGGGAGAAATTCATAGAAATAGCATGAAATAGCCATTGCATGAGACAAGGTGTTTAGGATGTTTAGGTGTTGAAAGGTGGTAGCATTGAAATATGGCTGGACACGTGTTGAGTGAGCCAACATCCTTATTGTCCTTCGCAGAGCTGCAACAAGCCCTCGCCTCTGCAAGTTTGACACAGAGCAACTCTGTTGATGCCATCAATCCAGTCATATTTACTGTAGTTGCTTGCCCTTCCTGTCGTAGCCGTGTAGATGTGTCCTTGGTCTCAGGTAGATACACAGCTGCTCGTTTTGGGCCGCAAGCCGTACGGCACTGCATACAGGACTTCTTTGGATTTCTTTGGGGGGAGGCAAAAGTAGGATGCTGTCGGCGCATTTCAGCGCCTTTGTCAAATGCTACTGATGCAATCGAGGAAGATACTGATGAACGCAATGCCTTGAACAGGAAGAACAATTCTCCAATCAAGATGCCTTCTGCGTCCTGGGTTTGATTGTGCTATAGTTTATCTCATGTTGACCCGGGAGAACTGCGTGACTGACTTGCCAAACGGAACCATCAAAGAGGTATATGCAGTATTGAAGACAAGACTTGCTTCACTCCTGATTTCTGTGATGTGACACGGCCTGAGTCTAGTTCCTCAGACAGATAAGGAAGAGGTAGCATGAAGTAGGAAAGCAACATATTCGCCAAATAGTCACAAAATGTAACAAACAGTCCTCACCCACAGACTGGTTAACAATTTAGATCATTTTAGGCTGTTTGGGACGTTGGGCAATGCACAGCGGTGCCTTGAAGGAACTGCGTCCTTGTGGCGTGGGGCTACACTGTTCAACAGAGGCGAGGCTGAGACGACGCAAGAGGGTGAGAAGGAGAGAACTGAGCGCGTGGATAGCACCACAGAATTATCAGAATTTAGTCGCTGGATGCGTCGCATGATGTCGCGTGTGCCAGGCTCATGCGGGCCAAGCTTCTGTATCTGGCGCTTGCATACCTTGCAGCTTGGCTGCGGAACAATGGTACGCACCTCTGTGGTCAACTTGTCTCGGTCTTTTAGGACTCGTACCAAGATGTACCAAGTCCACCAGGGCTGTATCGATCTCAAAGATCATCAAAGACCTTCATATTTGTCTGGCGAGGTTTGGCGATGTTTGGGGAATGGCGGGAACATACAGGCACAGGAACTAGATGGAACTAGTAACATCTAGGAACTCGTCAGTATACCCACTAACTATCACCAACTAGTCTTGTTCTCTGGGCCTGTGCAAGCGCTGCACCTTTCTTGCCCTGGCTAGTCTGGCCAGCCGACTCATGGGGCTGTGACCATACTTTGCCTCGAAGCCTCCAAGGTGACGTTCTTGGGATGTTTGTATCACGGCCTCCGGCAGCGGCGGCTATTCAAAGAGAGCAACGCACCTTTGATGCGCTTGATGATGGTCCCAACATGTCTCAACTGTATGGCATGACTCACCATAGCCCGTTGAGTGGCCAGAGAGAGTGGGATTTCAGAAGAAATTGTGAATTCCGACAGCCTGCCTCTGAAAATGTGGCGAGATCATGCAAGATTCTGACATGCCCTCCCTTTTTGATCCTTTTATAGAGTTGACTTGGGCGGGTGCTGTTCTTTTTATGGGTTTCTTCGGGCCAATGCCGCCTCTTCCTGCTTCCTTGTGCAGGCGCAAGATACCATGAAGGCAGCGGAGATTCTGCGGTCTTTGATTTCTTCTTAGTCACCTCGTTGCGGGAGTTTAATGATCCCTGGCAAACAGCTGCCGTAGTTCAATCAATAGATATAGCATCAACCTGTTGTTCTCCAGTGTCGGCTCAAGCAGCCCTTTGGTATCCTTTGGTAGTCTTTAGTCTGCATCTTAGCTACCTGGACCTGGCCATGTAATTTGCACCCACAGAAGTGGCGCGGGATGTGTCTTCCTTTCTGGTTCCGCACCAAAGCTCCGAAGACTTGGTGCAGCGAGGAATCCCTGCCCCGGAGGCACGACAAAGAAGCTTCTTTCGCACATCTCTCATGGAGAGGTTGTCCACGTTGATTCAGGTGATCTTGACGTGGGCGATTCTGGTCCCTGCTATTATCCCACTGCTGCTGTCCGTGAGCCTACTTTTTGGCCTTGTCATTGATGTCATCTATCAGGGCACTACTGCTTCCATCGTTCTCTTTTTGTTTGGCCATCTTGGGGACGCATGCAACCAGCCGCTGGGTCTATGTGTGCTTACCTTTTGGATTTCTGTGGCCTCAAAGTTGTCTCTGATCCTTCTTTGGAGCGGCTGTGAAGGCTTTCTCACGGAGTGCTGCGATGGGCTAACTTTCCGCAATCTGAGTGCTTGCCTCTCTGGCAGCTTTGCAATCTTCACGGTGCTATTTGAAGTGATTTGGCCAGTGACTATCTTCATCATGCTGCTACTGGCAGACAGTTGTACGCCGGGGCTAATCGCCAGCACTTGGTTTTTGCTGTCGCCTTTCTTCTTGGAGGCTTTGTGTTGCTGGCCCATTTTATCGAGCTGCCATCCGAAGGTAGATCCTGTCGATTTGATGGATACTTTTACTCGGATTGGTTTCGATCCTGATACCTTCAACGACGAAACTTATGCAACAGGTTGTGTTATTTGTTTGTCAGACTTTGCTGCATCTCACGATATCGTGTTGGCCCCGTGCGCTGCTGGTCGCCACGTCTTTCACGAACAGTGTTTGCTTGGCTGGCTTCAAAGAGCCCAGACATGTCCGTTATGTCGCAGCCGCTTGAGTGCTGCAGCTTCTCGCGGAGAAGCGATGGAACTTCCGCTTGCTTCATGACAGCACGACGGAGCCGCGAAGCAAAGCTGAGCACTCGAGAGACGGAGCGATGCGCTCGAGTAGAACTTGAAATGAACATGGCCAAAGTGCCTCTGATTTTCAGGTGTCACCAGACTTTGATCACGATTTCGCAGCAGGGTTGCCACGCAGCAGGGTTGCCCGGGGTAGAATCCACAACCCATACCTAATTATCCATGCGGAACCTGTGCCGCAGGCCTTTGCTGCTTTGGTGAAGGGTTTGCCGCCTATTTCCGCCGGAGTGTGAGGCCCCAGCGACATCAAGGAACAAATTGCAGAGCAATGCAATGAACATCAGGATGGCTCCTGGCCATTCTTCCAAGGATGCTGATCTTGAATCTCAACTGGCTCACGTTGTCGTCTCGTTGACTGGTGTCTTGGCAGGTCTTGAAAAATCTTGGCAGGGTGACGAACTTTCATCGACTGGGATCTTGAAACATCTTGAAACAGATCAAAGTTGCCGTGTGTTCATTCAATTTCTAATGGTTCATACCTTGCGGTGGGCCTGGGCCGAAGTGCCTTGGTCATCTTGGTCTCTAGTTCACAGGGCGCCTCTGCGAGGGGGTCGAATGGACTAGGCTAGGCTAGACCCAGAGAGAGAGAGACATCAAAGTTGCCAGATGTTGCCATTTTGCTGGAGGACAATCTGTCATCGGAGCTTCTGTGTCTTAGCTGCACTTGATCCTCTTCCGTCCAGTATGGCCCAGCGTTTTGTCCAGCACAAATGACATGAGCAGAAGTTATATTGTTTTTTTATTTAGTCCCGCGCTCCTTCCCCTACTGGTTTTTTCTCCTCCTTGCTGCCCTTCCCTGTGGTCTTGCTTCTCTTCTGGGGGGGTCCCTCTCGTCGGTTTTCCCTCCCATTTATTCTTTTATTTCCATGTTGTTTTCATTTTTTCCTTTTTCTTATTAACAAAAACCCCCCCCCAAAATCCCCCCCCCCCCCCAAACCCACCCCCCCCATCTCTCTACAACCCCCACCCCCCCCCCCCCCCCCCCCCCCCAACAACAAAAAAAACAACCACCCCCCCCCCCACCCCCCCCCCCCAAAAAAAACACCCCCCCCCCCCCCCACAACCAACCCCCCCCCCACAAAAAAAAAAATGACATGAGCAGAAGTGACATCCTCAGGTTGGATGGGGGTAGTAACTAATGACTAATCTAATGACTGTAATTAATGAATTATTATTAATGATAACTAGTGATCACTCATGGTCCTTCATGGTTCATGCTCGCCTCATTGGAATCTTGTGGAAACTAAACTCCTGTGGCTTTTCTGAAGGCTAAACTTGATACGTCCTGTGTAGTGAGATGCTGTTCGAGCTTCAAGTTTCCCGGCTCATGTTCAATGGCCACACCCAATGCAAGTGATGTTTGGCTCAAGTCCACTTTTCCAGCTGACTTGCGTTGAATGCTGTGATGTACTACGCCCCTTGGCTTGCTGCACTGTGAATAGGAAAGTTTTCTATTGGCGCATGTTGGCGTTGCTTTTTCTTGGTCATGTTCAGTAGGTCTTTGACACTGGCTTTCATAGATTCCAAGGCAGAAGTATCTTGGTGGCGCATCAGCGCATCTAAAGACAAGAGGTAGCAGAGTGGTAGCGATCATGTTTCCCCGGCGTGTGGCCACCTATGCTACCTGAGGTTTGCAAAGGCTGCTCAGGCACGGCCATATGGACAGGGCCGTGGTGCTTGGAGTTCGCTACAGTGACAATGGTTGAACTTTGGATGGCCAATCCTATTTAGTCAAGGTTGGAAAGCCCCCTGCACCAACGAGTCGAACAGGGACTTGACATGACTTGGCAGGGTTGGGACATTTCAACCTTTCCCATCGTTCAACTTGGGTCAGCAATGTCAGAGAGTGGGGAGGGGCCAAATCTCTTCAAGGTTCATGATTCTGTTCCAATCAAACAGCCGCTTTCTATCTACTGTAGAATATGGAATCATGAAGGAACATGAAGGAACTGCTCATTTTTAAACGAACCACTATGAAACTAAATATTTTGAATGCTCAGCTAGCTCCTCGAAACAAATCCCCTTGTGGTCTGAAGTTGCTGGCCTGCATGTGATAGTTCGGGCAAGCATCAAGTAGCTCTCTGCTGGGCCAACCTTGGTTGGACAATGTTAGATACTTTAGTACTTTCATCTTTTGCTATGAATGGTGAAATGTACTACACAGTTAAAAGTGGTTCACCATGTCTGCGGCACTTGTGCTCAAGATACGTTGAAGATCGTTGAAGGGCATGTACAGCGGGTTCGTCTTTCTGCCCCTATTGATTCTGCAATGCTTCAAATAAACATAGCAATGGCCAGCGGTCGCACTGAGAACTTCTCTCTTTTGCCGTCCTCCAAAGTTGGGGATTTGAGGATTCTAGCCCAAAAATTGTTTCGACAAGGCTTCCTGAGGCTGATTACTGAAGAAGGCCGTGCTTTGACGGATCCTTCGGAATCTTTGGAAAGTGCGGGGATTCAGGATGGAGACCACATCACTGCCCTTGTGCTTCAAGTCAAGATAGCAGCAACAGCAGGAGCTTTTGCCCTGTGGCGTTCTGGAGGTGACACTGTCCTCACATGGGGCTCCGCACACCATGGTTGTGACAGCTCTACAGTCCAAGAGCAGTTCAAGGGTGTTCAGCGGGTTGAGGCCACAGGGTGTGCATTCGCTGCAGACTTGGAAGGTGGATCTGTGGTGACATGGGGAGTTCAAGAATATCGTGGCGACAGCTCTGCTGTTCAAGATCAACTCAGGAATGCAAAGCGATTTCACACCACAGGACGCGCATTTGCTGCAAACCTGGAAGATGGATCAGTTGTGACATGGGGCGATCCAGATTATGGCGGTGACAGCTCTGCGGTCCAAGACCGGCTCAAGACTGTGCACTTTGTCACTGCCACAGAATTTGCGTTCGCTGCGATCCTGGCAGATGGATCTGTGGTTACATGGGGACACGCTGCCGGGGGTGGTGACAGTTCTGCGGTCCAAGATCAGTTGAGGAATGTGCAGCATGTTGAGGCCACAGCACGTGCGTTCAGTGCCCTTTTGGCGGATGGGTCTGTCATCACATGGGTCAATCCCTCTGCTGGCGGTGATAGCTCTCAAGTCCAAGGTCAGCTCAAGAACGTGCAGCAGATTCAGGCCACACGGAGTGCATTTTGTGCTATTCTGGCAAATAGATCTATTGTTGTGTGGGGCAATCCAGCCTATGGCGGTGAGACCTCTGCAGTCCAAGATGAGCTAAGAGATGTGCTGCAGGTTCAAGCCACATGTCGGGCATTTGCTGCGATCCTGGCAGATGGATCTGTCGCCACATGGGGCGACCCACATTGTGGAGGCGATAGCTCTGCAGTCCGCAATCAGCTCAGAACAAATGTGCAGCAGCTTCAGGCCACGCGCTTGGGTGCTTTTGCCGCGATCCTGGCAGATGGAGCTGTTGTTACATGGGGCGATCCCAGTTATGGTGGAGATAGCACCCAGGTCCAAGATCAGTTATTTTTTTTGTAGCTATGTGTCTTTTGGCCTTTCCTCCACCGAAGGCAAACTCACTGGCAGTGTTTTTCATGTACGAAAATAGCGGCCAAAGAAACATGTTGAACAGCTTTCGGCCAGAATCGCTTTAAACTTAAATGGGGATAGGGATTTCCTTTTCTTTAGCCATGCATGAGTTGCTTTTGGTTGTTTTTCGGAACTTTATATGCTCAACCCCGCTTGAAAAAGGAAGGATTGCAAATTTCCTTCCCTAACCAAAATTATGCTGGGCTGTCAATTTCTGTGAATTGTAATTGTGGTTTAAAAGATCTATTGATATCTAGTGGGTAAACGACGCTGAAGCCAGATGCATGCAGAAATTGAACCAGGTTTGCATTTTTTTGTGTTCGAAACTCATGGAGTAACTTGTTTTCTGGCCAGAAAACGGGATCATTATGATCTCCTCTTCACGGTCTTTTTGGAAGCTGAGGGCAACTGGACTATGTGTAACACACAGACACACGCCCATACACGTAATGTATATATATATATACACACACACATATATATATATATGTATTATATACATAGTAGCATTGTATTCATCGAAGGAAGTTTAGAAGTCAAACTTCCGACAATATGGACAGATGGAAAAGCAGAGGTGGGAAGAGTCAGAGAAGAGAAGAAGAAAGAAGAT